TCGCTGTATAAAACTTTCTGGTTTACGGCAGAGTCTGAAGTGTCAGTTTCATCTCTTTTGTTGGCTTTCGATAGTTGTTTGAAGGCAACAGGAGGGTTATTACATGCTAAATTTACAAATGAACGAATCAGGTGACATGTAACAGAAGCTACTTCCATGTATATTACAATAAGTCGTTACACTAACACTGTTGCATTCATGATTTAAATAGCTTTGAATGTGCTCACCAAGGCTTATGACTCGAAACCACTTACAGCAACACAGGAACCTAAGAGATAAACAAACCTGAGGAGGCCCCTCATCCCTCCCTGCACGTTTGGAAATTTAACACTGAAATGGCGGTCAGATTTTACAGTGCCGACTGGAATTAATCTGTGGATTAGCTATACGGAACCGAGCAGCTTATCCCAAAAGCCCATTTCCGATTCTGTAAAGACACGGTGCCTTTGTTCTGATCTGGAGTCAGTCCCCAGCTACTTCCCAGTTGTGGTCTTGCCGTGTTAAAGTCGGTATTCATGGTGACACTGGTGATCAGAGTGTGCAATGCAGCTGCCACTTTTCAGTTTACCGGGGATACTTGTTACCTGTCCTTGTGCCCTGGGTCGTGACTGGGTATTGGCATGTGACATCAGGCCCCTTTGGTACATTTTGCCAAACTTGTCCCCAGAACTTATATATTGGGGCTCACATAAAGTGCTGCAGCCCCTCTTTCTCTGATGCTTCTGCTTGTACCTGAACTGTCCTGGGCTCAGTGCCCTTGTTTCCAACTTGCACAGAAGTACAGCTGCCTTAGTTATGCTCCAGGCCTTGGTCTGTCGGTGTGATATACAACCCCGGGTTTGATTGCACATTAGCTTCGTTGTGTTAGCGCTGTGTAGTGTAGCCTTTTGGCGCTCTCGCTTTGTGGAGGAATGCTCTCTCGCCCAGGCCGGGCCGTCCCTCAGCCGGGAAGCTGACAGGGAGCCTCTGCAGTAAATCACTGCTCTCAGGGACCCCATCCTAGCTGACTTCATGAGTCAAGACTTTAAGGAATCCACTCTCCCTGGTGACACACCACCCGATACTTTGCTATACTGCCGCCTGGTGAATCTTTTTTTTTGTTGATTTATTATTGCTCACCAGTGTGGATAAATTGGTCTGATTTTTCACAAAAAAAATAAGGTTTTTTGAGTTTGACAAGTATGACAATGGACGACGTTTCCCATAATGCAACGGAGAGAATAATGTTATAGATCTAGGCTAACAAGTTGCTTGAATGTTAATGGGAGAAAAGATGGCAGACTTTGTGACAGGAAGGTCCTACTGATATTTGAAGGAACCAGTAATTCGTGCAGATGCCTCTATGAGTTACTTCTGCATCCTTCCCCCCAACCCTCCTCAGGGAAACACAACACTCAAGGCCCCCTGAGCTCAGCAAAGTCTCATTTTGCTTCGATTGGGGCAGTGCCTCAAAAACACATTCATACCAGTTTGTGCCAGATCTGCAGGGTCCGGGCTGCCGGCAGATTTACATGCTCTGACGCCAACCAGAAAAAGCATCAGACAGTTGAAGGTTCAAGTCTCCAAGGGGGGCCCACTGTAGGCCCTTGAATTTGACCCATACCTGTCCCTTATTTAGCAGCATGAGTGGGTAAAAACTGATGGTCCCCACTGGACGTAACTGTCATCCCAGCAACTTAAGAGTAAATAAAAGCCTCAACATTGAGACAATTTGAAGAACAAAGCATTCTGGGTAGAATCCTAAGAGGAATCCCAGCAAAGAAATGCAGCTTTTGACTTGCAGTTTCCTTTTTTGGTCCCTGAAATGCTCCAGGGACTCTGGATAAATGGCTTGACCCTGCATTCATACCCTAAGCTTCGCTCTCAACTGTGTGTATATGTGTGTGTGTGTGTGTGTCTCAACGGAGTGTCAGATGGGATATGCGAAAAGAAACATTCTGATGTACCTGTGCTTGTCCATCCATTTTCTGAAATTGCTTGTTCTTTTCAGGGTTGTGGGGGACTTGGAGCTTATGGGCACAAGGCAGGGCACAACCCAGGTGGTGTTGCCAACCCATCACAGGGGTGACTCTCTCACACACGGGCATTTTGGTAACTCCAGTTAGCTTCAGCATGCTTTTGGACTGGGTGGGGAAACCAGAGAACCCAGAGAGAACCCCACAGCAACACAGGGAGAACGTGCAAACTGCACGCACATGGAACCCTGCTCCCAGAAATGTGGGGCAACAGTGCCGACCACTGCACCATTGTGCCACCCCAGTAGTACTTATGCAAATGGCCAATAAAGCATCGTAGCATTTCAGGATTAAAACTCATCAGCATCCTGTCCGTGTCCCGTTGTGCTGCTGGTGTTGCTTTACTCCCCTGCAAAATAACCGTCACGTGGCAGGAGATTCTGTTACACGCACTGGCCGAGAGTCGACCCCAGGGAGTCCAGAGGGGCCCAGTCTCAGACCTGTTTTGACGTTATGGGACTCTAGCTAGCATAGGCACCAGGCCAGGCTATTTTGGGCAGCGCTCTCAGCGTGCTGATCGACGTGGGCAGTCACGCTCAAATTGGGGGCGCCGATTGGATGTCCTGCAGCTCACTGCTCACAGTAGGATGCCGACGACATCGCTGGTGCAGGTGCTTGCACAAAAATGCAGAGTAGGCTTGGATTAGCAAGTTAGATGCGCTCACATGCTCGCTGTGTTTTTCCAGGTGTTGCTGAGCAGGCGTGTTGCGGTGATCCCGACAACAGATTTTATTTGTAACTCCTGTTTATGAGTATTGCTCTGGGTGTTAAAGTTCCATCTCCCCCAAGAAGCCGTGAACTCTCATTACCTCCATGTTTAATGTACCCACTAAATGTAAGATGATTTGGATTAGAAGGACAGGGAGAATAAACTGTTTTAAAGTGCAATATCCGTTGCTGTCGCTCAATTGAATGCAGTGTTTAATGTTGACTAGCTATTTATGGATCATAGAAAACAGCAGCAGTGAAGGTCACTATATCATGCTGTAAATATTTAAAGTTTACCTGTGTTACCTCTGTAACTGCCGTGACTCTAGTTCTCCTCGTGACATTACGTTCTTGCTGTTCCTTCTAAGTTCAAAATTCATGGAACGTCATGCTTTCCTTTACATGACCACGTAAAAGCAGCATCACACCGTTCCTGCGCTGCCTGCCTGCTCCCACCTCCTCATCTCAGATCTCAAGGTCTTCCATAGCTTCTCCTAGGAGATGTGATGCTTGTGATCTGGTGGGTGGCTATGAACTTCTGGTGGGGGCGGGGTGGGGTTGAGCAGATGTTTCTTATCAAGTGAAACCGAACCTCAGGGCCCTCCCTTATTTCTGCACCCCAGTCTCTCGGCAAATTCCCAAAGCTTTATTAATGATGGACTTTAAAGGTGTTACATTATTGCATATAAGGGCAAGCTGTTTGTGGTAAATGCTTGTGGAGCTTTGCTTTGTCGTTTGGCCAGACTCAGATGTGAGAGTGACCTCATCCAGCACCTCATCCAGCACCTCACAGACACCATTTCTTTCTTTCTCTCAAACTCTGCCAGCAAAAACCTGGTTTATAGGATTTCAATGCAAACTTCTCATCGAGAGTTCAGCAGTCCATCCAAATCCGAATTTCAGTGACTGCGGATTAAGTTTTCTGTGGTTTACTACAATCCAAAAAACGAAAAGTAAAACGTGTAACAATGTGTTTTTTTCATTGTTCTGTCATGCCTTGATACATATTTTTTTCATCGCTCTATCGTTTCTTGAAAATTAGGCTAAAACATCAGAATCTCTTTCATTCAAAAGATAGTACAGAACTATATGATGATATACAATGTACTTGATTATTACTCTCTTTAATGTTATGTATTTAAGGCAATGTCTTACTGTGTGTGATTTATCAATCACCATATGTAAGTGCTGGAGCAGCATGTTATATATGGAGTCTGCCGACGGCCCGCTGCTCTCCGCAGTTTTGACGATCTGAGGTCGGTATCACCTGCAGATGTGGGGGGGGGGCTGCTGTCGTTGACAGACGTGTTTTTCAACACCTTCAAGATGGTGGTGGGGGGGGGCTGGGTGGTGAGCCAGATGCAGTTACTGTACGCTAATCTCACCAGAAAAAATTCCCAGCAAGATGGGCCTTGGAGAAGTTCATGTCATCCTTTGAGAACAGTGTTATCTACTGTCTTGGAATATGCTGAGGTGTTGTTTCACGTTTATGAGGGACTTTATGGCGAGAGAAAAACCGCAACGAAATCTAGGTCCAGCCTGCTTCCCACTTCTTATCTTTATGGCGACAGTGGTGGTAAAAGTGGAGTGTCTGAAACAGCGCGGTGGGGAGGGGACGCTGGGGAGGGGACGCGTGGGGAGGGGACGCGTGGATGAGTATGATTCTAAACGTGCTGTCAAGAAAACACATACAAAAAAAAGAGCATTATGTAAGCAGAGTAAAATGAGGCGTCCAAACTCACAGTGGCCAGGATAATTATGCGCTCATTGGTCTCTCACTAGTTATTTTCTTGGTTCCCATTGGGTTAAACAAGCCTCTTACTGGCAGCTCTAGGCTAATCCTTTTCAAGTCTTATTTCTTCCGTCACTTTATATGTTTTTTATTTATATTAAGCTTTCTGTAGCATCAGCTCTGTCCCCAGGCAGTATGGTGGAGGGACATCAGCTCTGTCCCCAGGCAGTATGGTGGAGGGACATCAGCTCTGTCCCCAGGCAGTATGGTGGAGGGACATCAGCTCTGTCCCCAGGCAGTATGGTGGAGGGGCATCAGCTCTGTCCCCAGGGATTACAGGAGTATTGCTGTTGCTGAGCAGGATATCGGTGATTGCACTGTAGGGCATGTAGACGATTTGTCTTTTGAATTTGTTGCCTAGCAATGCATCAGTGACCCAGCTAAGCGATTCCCCATGTTGGTGACATCGCTGCAGAAGTGCCCGGCTGATCAGGCCTCCGCTGCCTCTCTGTGATGCCCCTCTCCGGTCGCTCTTCCTTCTGCAGGTCATCTGGCTCCCACACCCCCGGCCCCCTCTGTGAATGTCTGTCGCCATGGCGAAGCGCGAGTCCGGGAGCGCCAGCCCCGTCGTGCGGCAGATAGACAAGCAGTTCCTGGTCTGCAGCATCTGCCTGGATCACTACCACAACCCCAAGGTGCTGCCCTGTCTGCATACCTTCTGCGAGAGGTGGGTCCCCCTTCCCTCTGACAGGTTATGTTCCCGTACGAGCTGGCTGCTTGCCTGGGGCCAGAGTGCAAGACCTTAGCGTGTGTAGCTCAGTGCTTGACCTGAGGGCAGAGACAGCTGTCAGCGTGCTAATGTGGATCCACTGTGACATCACAGTTGAGCTAGAAGGGCCACTCCTCCTGGTTTACACTCTCAAAATGAATTCCAAGCTGTTGCAGTAAGCATGAGTGATGCTGAATGGATGAGTTGGTTGTACAGGTTGCAGATAGGACTAAAGGAATCTGTACTGTTTTGGAGTTTTACTTACATGAAAATGTTCTGAAGGTACAAGGAAAAATGATTGGTTAAGAGAGATGACCAATCAGATTGTTCAGGAAGTTGGTCCAAGCAACTAGGGGAGGCGGGACCAAGACATCTGATTGTTTCGTCCTGCCTCCTCTAGTTGCTTGGACCCACCACCTCTATAATCTGATTGGTCATCTGTCATCTCTCCCACGAGCAACTTGTACTGTGTGGCACCCAGGATTTTATAGGACTTTGTAGTACCAAACAGCTGATAACTATTGTCTGCAGTTCTCTAAATTGTAATCAAGGTTTGACTCATTCTTTAGTTTTCCATAATTCCAATAATTCAGAATCAGAATACTTTTATTATCCCAGAGGAAATTGCTTGTAATTACATACTGCACAGTACAAAACTATATAAGAAGACAAAAATAGAAAAAACACTGCACCACATACAGCAGTTTCTAACTAAAAATGAATAGCTATAACATATGGAGATTGTAATAAATTAGTGGGTATATAAAAATGAGTTCAATGCTGTGGTGAAACGTATACAAACATACCATTTGTTGCAAACAGTGCATTATTGTGAGAAAATATTCTGAAAGTTTTAAATGCATAAATTTCCGCATACATAACATTCCATCTTATATTACCTGGCAAATATATGATTACATTACCTTGAAACGATGCTTCGTTGCCGTTTGTACAGGTTCAGGTACGCAGGAATTCTTTGTGTTTGCATATCCCATCTTACTGTCCTTTGAGACAAACCCACACATACATGCAGGTATACATGATGCTTGGGGTCTGAGTGCAGGATCAGCCATTTATTCAGCACCCCTGGAGCATTTGGGGGGGGGGGGGTAAAAGGCCTAGCTCAAGGACCCAAAGGCGATGCACCTAACTCTGCCAAAACTGGGCTTTGAAACAATTATAGGCTCTAATGCACAGAGCCACACAGTGTGTTACAAATGAAAATTAGTATATTTTCTTTTACAAGCTTTTTTGTATTATTGGGACATTTTGTAAGTTTTTAGGCTCCTAAGTCTGGACTGAGCAGAATCTTTCCCTCCCCCATTACCCCTTTAAATTACAGGTTTAGCATAATGTCCTAAAAACACTCAGCATTCAGAGCTCATGTGCCCCAGAAGGGGGCAGTGGCGAGGGGGACTGATTCTCAGCATAAATATAGCTCGCTGCCCGGGGACAGGCCGGGTGCCAGCGATGCACTCGCCCGGCCCAGCCGGCACGGCACTTGGCAGACATCCCCTGGCTGCGGCGACATCTCCCAGTCACCCAGGGTGTGGGGATCTCTGCTGGTGGCCCAGTCCCGCCAGTCCGCCCTGCAGCTATTTCCAGAGCTCCCATTCGCTCATGTGACTGGAACACCGGACACTTTTTGCGATCGGCGCAACACGGTCATTTCACCGCTGGAATCGGTGTATACATCACCCAGAGAACCCACTGCCACGGACACCTTACAAGCAGCGGACAGATTTCCGCCTTCCGCTCTCGCTTCATGGCTTATTCACCAGAGTAAGGCTCTCTGCCGACAGTAAGGATTGGCTCTAAGGGCTGGGTCGGTCGGGCTGGGGAGCGAAGCGGGGCTGGGGCCAATGCCTTCTGCAGTCCTGGCCGTTTTCTCATAGCTCGAGATCTTTTGCTAAGGATGCTCGACATTGCTCTTCATTTGTCTGAGAGAAAATAAACATGACTGGAATTAATATGAAAGCATTCATGCTTAAAAGAATATTGAAATGACATCGCCAGACCTATGAGTGACATTAGTTACATTTATTAATTGGACAGGTCATTTTCTTCAAAATGAGCCACAGGTCAGGACAAATACAAGGACATCGCATGATCAGTAAAGGATGTAAACGTACAGCGTCTGCCTCTGGGTGGTATTAAGGTTACTTTTATTTATGGGACTCCTACGTCTTGCGAAACAGTATTATAGAGATGAATATGCAAATATCCAATGACAGGAAACAAGTATATAAGGGGAAAAAATCTCTGACAATTAGGGCGGAGAAAATGAATCGATTAAAGTCACGCACTGGCTGTTCTTCACTGGCCTGCTGACCCACAGACCCTTATGTAAGTCAAATGTTACATAATTCGGATTTAACTTCCCATATCATACAAGACAACTTATAGCAAAAACCGCACAAGCCAAAAATATATCAGTAGTAGGTAATAAAGAATGAAAAAATAGTGTAAATATACTTACTGGCTTATGTTGCCTTTTTGTGTTTCTGTAAACTCTGTGTTTCTTAGATATTTTTTGTGTAAGTCCAGAATTACAATTTTTACAGAATTATAAAGCTGTTTTTGCCATAAATCAAGAGCTGCCTCTATACAGTATAACTAAAAGTATGCAGACAACCCTATTAATTAGAGGAGTTGCCTAATTAAGTCACACTCATAGCTGACACAGGTGTAGCACATAGTTACGCAATCTCCTGTAACAAACATCGGCAGCAGAATGGGTAGTTGTACAGAAGAGGTTAATCACTTGGCACCATCATGGGACGCCATGTTTCCTACATTTCTGCCCTGTTGGATGACATGATTATAAAGGTCAAAACGTGAGGGAGCAAGTTCAATTGCGCTAGAGCCACACAGACCACCAGAAAGGGACCTGATCACCTAACATCGATACCTGAATTGCAGTAATTCCCGCCAACATCTATTGGAAAGTCTTCCTAGAAGATCAGAGGCTGTTATAGCAACAACGGGCCACCCAACCTCAAATTCATACCCTTCTTTTCAGAATGACATGTTGAAAAAGCTGGTGTCCACACATATTAAGCTTTATATTGTATATAAATATCCAAAGGCAGTAGCAATAATTTGTGCCTGTAGGCAGCATGACAATTATTATACAATATGCCGTTTCCAAAAAGGTTGGGACGCTGTGTAAAATGTAAATAAAAACAGAATGCAATGATTTGCAAATCATATCAACCCAATATTTAATTGAAAATAGAAGTAAGACAACATCAAACGCTGATTTTTTATTGTTTTATAAGAAATATATGCTCAGTTCTGTTTTTATTTGCATTTTACACAACGTCCCAACTTTTTTGGAAGTGGAGCTGTATTTAAGCTATTTAAACATTCACCCACATTGTTATTGCGAAGTCTGCACACAAGCATGGAAGCGCAACTAAGCTGCACGTCTAAAGCCGACAGGAGCTCCAGCCTGGTCACTGTCCTTAGAAGAACTGTCCTTGTCTCTCTGCTCCACCCTACAGGTGCTTACAGAACTACATCCCTCCACAGTCCCTGACTCTGTCCTGCCCCGTCTGCCGTCAGACCTCCATCCTGCCCGAGAAGGGCGTGGCAGCTCTGCAGAACAACTTCTTCATCACCAACCTGATGGAGGTGCTCCAGCGCGACCCGGAGTGCACCCGGCCCGAGGCCTGCAGCGTCCTGGAATCGGTTAGCGCTGCCGCTGCCGGCAAGCCGCTCTCCTGCCCCAACCATGAGGGCAAGGTAAGGCCTATGCTGAACCGGCCATGGGGCAAAGGAATCCCAGTGTTTCCCAGTCCGGTCCTCGTGGACCCACAGACGGTACATGTTTTTGCTCCCTCCCAACTGGCAGCTAGGAGAGAGCAAAAATGTGGACTGTCTGGCAGGGAGCTGGGAGAGAGCAAAAATGTCCCCAGGCAGTATGGATCCCCAAGGACCGGATAGGGAAACACTGTGGACCAAACACATGGGGACAAGAGCTCAGCCATGGGGGCAGGGTGTGTTTTATGCTATCTGTGGGGAAAGGAAAACCCCCTTTATTCATCTGCATTCATTGTATTTAGCAGAGCTTTTGTCCCAGATGACATACAAGTAAGGCAGATAGCACATTACAAACATTCACCTGTTGAGGAGTCGACTGGGCATGAGTGCGGCTGAACTGGGCTTCCGATTAACGCCATAACCTAATAAGACTATTCAAGGAGCAAAGGTGCAACATTAAGAACATAGAGAGACATCAGACTAGTTAGGGAACAAGTGGGTCTTGAGGTGTCACTTCAGGTGGGAATCTGATGACCACACGTGGTTTAGCAGCTGATTCCACCATCGGGGAACCACGTGTTATTTAAGTCAGTCATGAAGACGTGTTCTTCTTTGTTTGGAACCATAATACTGAGTTCAGTTTATGAGTTCCACAGATTATGTTCCTTTTATATTGGAAAATGCATTTCTTGCCATTTGCTTTTCACTAACGAGGTGCAAGCTAACAGAAAGGGTCGCTGTGGCACCCCCTGCAGGTGATGGAGTTTTACTGCGAGTCCTGCGAGACTGCGATGTGCCTGGACTGCACAGAGGGAGAGCACCGGGAGCACGTTACCGTGCCGCTGCGGGACGTGCTGGAGCAGCACAAGGCCGCACTGAAGAACCAGCTGGACGCCATCCGCAGCAGGTGCGGGGGGGTCGGTGGGGGCTGCAGCCACGACAGGCACCAGCTCACATGGCTGTATGCAGAGTGAAGCGACATCTATGTCAGAATACTGAATAAATGTGCATGGCGGCTTTTCTCCTGTACAATTATCCACCAGATCATTAGATATAATCCTGGAAGACAGTGTTTGAATTGTGTCAGACGTCTTGGGGGGGTTTCCTGGTGGATAGTCTGACTGTGGGTGGCAGGACCCCCCAAGGGGGACCCCCCAAGACATATATTTTGTCTCTTATGGGGGGGGGGTGATGATAAAAGTTGTTGAGTGTGGGGGGGACATTTTAAGGGGGCCCCCCCAAGACACATATTTTGTCTCTTATGGGGGGGGGTCCCTGAACTTTTATGGGGGGGGGGTCCTGCAAAAGAATTACAGCACTTAATCTGGGGGAAAAAAAAAGTTTGTCCCGGAATCACCGTATTGGGTCGCTTCTGCAGGTCCACTTAGAAAGAAAAAATCTTTATTTAGTTATTATTAATATTTTGATGTGGGGTGATGACTGCGGGGACCACCCCCTCAATCCGCCCCTCACCTCACTCGGATCCCCCTCAATTCGATCACTCGTTTGTGATGACTGTGGTAGGTTCTGATTAGCAGCCTTGCGACGCCACACTTGCCTCGGATCACAGCGGCCCTGAGCAGTGTCTCCGCTGCCCCCCCCAGGCTCCCGCAGCTGACGGCGGCCATCGAGCTGGTCAATGAGATCTCCAAGCAGCTGACAGAGCGGAAGAACGAAGCGGTGACCGAGATCAGCGGTACCTTTGAGGAGCTGGAGCGGGCGCTGCACCAGCGCAAGTCGACCCTCATCGCCGATCTGGAGAGCATCTGCAGCACCAAGCAGAAGGTCTGTCTGGGACACCCCCAATCCCTCCATGCCATTAGGTTCTGCACTGAGACTTTATGACCAATGAAGTCAACATGTATTCAAAGAGATTGAAACACAGTGGAATTCTGGTCAAGCAAATATTACACAAGGAATATAAACACACAAGATCCAAGATTACAGATTTTATTTGCACAGTTATATGGTGAAATGCACATGTGCATCAGTACATTTAAATAAATGTATAAAAACAAAGAATTGGTGCCACCCGTGCCAAGCAAAGTAAAATCGACTGGCAAATCGGTACCACCTCAGATGTTGGCACCCAAGGAACAAACGACGTTAATGTGCCCCCAATAGTACACAAATGTTATTTGCAGTCCATTTATATACCTTAAAAGGTACATTTACCTACAGCTATAGGGTACAACTGGCAACCCTTGAGGGTACAGCCCCAGCCCCTGCTTATAGGATTCACCAGCCCCCATTTAGATTATACATTGATGGTTTCCACTTCTACATAACAGAGAATATGTTGGTCATGTGATGGCCACCAGCTGTGATCATGTGACCAGGCCACGCCTCCCCTCCCTCATTTTGACCTCGCTGTGGGCGCCGCCCGTCTCGCCTCAGGTGCTGCAGGCTCAGCTGGCCTCGCTGCTGCAGGGGAAGGAGCACATCCAGAGCAGCTGCAGCTTCACAGAGCAGGCGCTGAGTCACGGCAGCGCCACCGAGGTGCTGCTGGTGCAGAAGCAGATGAGCGAGCGGGTCAGCGCCCTGGCCCGGCACGACTTCCCGGAGCAGCCGCACGAGAACGCCCACCTGAACTGCCTGGTAAGATGGCAGGGCGAGGTGGGACAGGGCAGGGGGGTGCATTCTGTGCTGTTAATGGTACTCTGATCTGTGATTTGATAAGCGGGTCATTTTAATAGTCTCTATTAAGATGTTACCCAGCATCAGTTACCTGAATCACATGAATTGGTACCAATTCTATTCAGTTTATGGTGCCACTAATGGCTGCATTCATTTATGTCACATGACCAGACCAGGAGTACAGCTGGTAACAAACAACAATGATGCAAGCTTTAGTCAAAGTGCAAGCCTAGTGAATAGTGAAATAATTCTCTGTTACAGTCTTTCTCAGCCCAGCCCTCAGGGACCCCCAGATAGTCCACATTTTTGCTCCCTCCCAGCTCTCAACACACCTGAACCAAACAATCAAGCAATCAAGACCTGGTACAGGTGTGCTGGGAGCTGGGAGGGAACAAAAATGTGAGCTCTGTGGCCCACCCCCGAGGATTGGGCTGAGAAATGCTGCTCTATTATGGTTCAACGCTTTGTTGTCAAATGATTCAACTATGGTTACGGGGAGAGGAGGGCCAGAGTTCCATCTCCATGGCGACAGAACAGAACTCACATTTCTCTCAGGTGGAGACGGAAGGCCTGCGTCGCTCCATCCAGAACATGGGCGTGCTGCTGACCACGAGCGCCGTGGGCCACACCAGTGTTGCCACAGGGGAGGGGCTGAAGCACGCACTGGTGGGCCAGCAGGCCACCGTCACCATCACCACCAAGGACAAGGACAGCGAGCTGGTGCGGACGGGCAACGCGGTGCTACGGGCCGAGATCGTGGCGGCGGACAGCACGCGTGTGGAGCCTGAGGTGGTGGACAACAAGAACGGCACTTACGAGGCGTCCTACACACTACGCACCGAGGGCGAGTACACCTTCTCGCTGCTGCTCTACGATCAGCCCGTGCGTGGGAGCCCCTTCCGGCTGCGTGCCGTCAAGCCCTCCGACATGCCGCAGTCACCTGACGACGTCAAGCGCCGCGTGAAGTCGCCCAGTGGGGGCGGGGGCCACGTGCGGCAGAAGGCCGTGCGACGGCCCTCCAGCATGTACAGCACCAGCAAGAAAAAGGAGAACCCCATTGAGGATGAGCTCATCTACAGAGTGGGTGCGTCCTTCAGCCTGTCCTTTTGGAACTCCCTGGGGTTCCTCTGGAAATTCCTTGGAATTTCCTGTGGTTCCTCTGGATCTTCTCTGGAGCTTCCTGGGGTTCCTTTAGAAATTCTCTGGAAGATCCTGGGGTTCCTCTGGAAGTTCTTTAGAATTTCTTGGGAGCTTCTTTAACCTTTCTACCGTGTTCTCCGTCTTTCGTTTTAGTTCTTTGAGTTGACTGTCTATTGTTTGGGAAGATATTCAGTTCCCATGAACCTTGCCTGATCTCCTTGCAGGCACTCGAGGCAGGGAGAAGGGGGAATTCACCAACCTGCAAGGCATCTCAGCCTCGAGTAACGGGAGAGTCGTGGTGGCAGACAGCAACAACCAGTGTATCCAGGTGAACTTGATTATGAGACAGAGGCACTTTTTTTAAACCATGAGTAGACACTGGAAACTCCTTTAAATCCTCCTCTTAAATCCTGTACCGTCCTTCGATGATAATTCCTGCTGAAGCACATTAAACCACTACCTGGAATCTTTTCTGCCAGTATATATATGTCACTTCATCTCTTTGATTGAGTCTTACAAAAATTTCTTCTAACTTTGAAGGTGTTCTCCAATGATGGACAGTTTAAACTGAGGTTCGGGGTCAGAGGTCGTTCTCCTGGGCAGCTCCAACGTCCTACTGGTGTCACTGTGGACACGAATGGTGACATCATAGTGGCCGACTATGACAACCGATGGGTCAGCATCTTCTCCCCTGATGGGAAGTTCAAGGTAGGACCTTGTCTTGAAGTTCCTGTACCAACTAAGCCATCCCCGTCCTTATCCCATAAAGTCTTAGTTAGCAAATCACTTACACCTGAGATAACATTCAAATAATGGAAGAGAATAACTTATTGCTAAGGTACAATGAAATCAAACACTTCCTTAAACTTCTAATGTCTTGAGTACTGTTATGTCTGTACTAGTTGGCGTCAGTTTTTTTTGCACTGCCCTGCAATGTTTCCACAGTTTTTGCACACTCTAGTTTGCTAGGTTGTTGTGCGTTAGTTTTGTGTTAATTTATGTAGCACCTTGGTCTGAGAGAAACGCCGTTTCATTTTTAACTGTGTACTGCACTCAGCTGTGTATGGTTAAAAATGACATTATAGACCTACTTGACTTGACTACTTGACTATCCCAATAACTAAGGTCATCCTGTGACCCTTGGCCCTGATACCTTACTGCCAAATGTCATCCTTTGCAGAACAAAATCGGAGCCGGTCGTCTCCTGGGCCCTAAAGGTGTGGCTGTCGACCGGAATGGTCACATCATTGCTGTCGACAATAAGGCCTGCTGCGTCTTCATCTTCCAGTCCAACGGGAAGCTGGTCACCAAGTTCGGGGCGAGGGGGACATCCGACAGGCAGTTTGCAGGTACGTGGTTGTTGACTGTGGGACCTCAAGCAGACGGGTCGGGTATGGCAGGCGGTATCCCGGCAGCACCGAAAGCTTACAGACTGATGCCTCAAACTGTTAAGCCAAGCACTGCATGCTGGTGCCTACACACCTAGGAATTTCCTCCGAAAGGTCAAAGGAGCTTCATTGGTTTTTGGCTGGGCTTTGAGTTCCCATTGGAACCCTGTTTCTGCAGCTAAAGGCTTTGCTCTTCTGAGGCAGCTGCACCACACGCCTCTCACTCACTTCAACGACCTGAGTGCGATCGTCGTCCTCATTTTCCAGCTGACCCAGTAAATGATGCTGCCCCTGTTATTTCCTTTGACAATATTTTTGTGGGTATTTTGCAAGTTCACTAACAGCACCAGGAGAGTTTAAGACAAGTAGGAATGTTCCTGTTTGGCTTAGAGGAACAGACAAATGATAGAAGGCATCTCCAGATCTTAATGTCTGTTACAATTATGCTTTTTCTTTAGAAAATGCTGGGAATAAGGTCCCCCCTCCCCTGACATGGTAAATAAAGTGGTTGGCCAGATTTACCCCACCTTGAGTTCCAGTGTTTGAAAGGTCAAATCTGTCCAGCTGTCATCTACTTTTATTTTAGTTTTTCATTTCCTCACTCATAGCTTTGCCCTCATGTGCTTGTGTCTGGACCTGTTTTTTTGGTTTCTCCTGGTATGTTTATCTACAATCCTTGGCCTCCCTCCCACACCCAGTCCAAAGTTGAAGCTTAACCCTGTCTCTCTGGCACATCGGAATTTCGCGAGACCAGCGTAGACGCTTAAACCTTCGATGTGAAGCCGCTACCTTTTCTCCACCCCTTACTCTGCATACAAGGCTGGCGGCCTCGCGCGTTACCCCATGGGCTAACATGTTCAATTAGCCCTGAGCCAAATCTCCTCCACAAACACAACCGCCTCCCCAGCATCTCTAATCTGGCTGATTGCCCCCACTCTTGCCTTCTGACTACTGCTGTGGAATGCATGTACTTAAAGCAGACTGTCAGCTTCAGCTGTAGCACCCTCTGTTTCCCCCCCACCCCGTTATGTCCTGGCCCCATTTTTACTAGCACACCGCAGAGCCTTACACCATAAAGGCAGCCCTCCCTTCAGCAGCCTCTGTTCCAGCGCCCCCCCTCGAGTGTCCTGGATTGCTGGTGTGGTGCATGGAGCAGGCAGTGGCTGCACAGGATGTGAAGATTACCAAGAGCTCTGCTACTATTGCTGTGAATACTATTGGCTAAGAGGCTGACCAATAGGGATGCTTCTAACACTAAAGGAGGAGACCTCCCACCTGTGGGAACCCCCTATGCTACCCTCTGTCGTCGGTCTTTCATTTCTAACCTTACCTTTGTTGTGTTTACTTCCTTTTAGAAAAAAGTGGTGCAAACAATGCACTGGATCACAAGCTTAGTAAATCTGGCCCCACGTTCAGTAAGTATCGTGTGACCCGTTAACCCGAATCCAATCCACGCCTGCGTCCGGGACAATCGAAACGTCAGCCTGCAGATCGCTCCCGGGCTGAGCCCTGGGAGAAACCCTGCGGAGTCACTGTGACTCCAGTCAGATTTGATCTCTGGTAACTGTGGTAGAGTGTCTCCAAAGGCTTCTCCTTTCCATGATTGTCTTCCTCACCCAGATCACAATTTTTTACTTCAGCAGAGATTTCCTGGAAATTAAACAAAAACTAAATAAAGCTAATCAGTGTCTTTGATTTTAAACAGCTAATATGGTTTGATTTTTTTTTCCCCACCTACTTTTATATTTTAAAAAGTAGAAAAAAAAATATCATGCGTACCCTGACATATACTTAAACGTTTTCCCTGATCAAGGAATATCCTCCCAGCCACGGAGCCTCTTCCTCTGACACCTTGTGACATCATTAACTAAAGCGTGTATCTCTCCTCACCTCTGTCCTTTTGCCTTAAGGTCCACACTTCGTTGCAGTGAATAACAAGAACGAAATAGTGGTGACTGACTTCCACAATCACTCTGTTAAGGTAGGAATACAGTCATATTGTAAAATGAAACCCGGCGATCCTACTTTAGACCATCTTAATGTCTTATTTTCTTAAGTCCATGGTAACATATAGAGCAAAGCCATTTCAGTATTTATATACAGTGGGACCCCAGTGTCCGCGGTTTACCGCAGTCTAAAAAAACAGTTTAAAAATTCCACAAACGGTTCATAAGTTTCCCATCATGCGTCAGTGAGTACCCACACGTACAGGCTGTAAGTCAGTGAGTACCCATAAGTGCAGGCTGTAAGTCAGTGAGTACCCACAAGTGCAGGCTGTAAGTCAGTGAGTACCCACAAGTACAGGCTGTAAGTCAGTGAGTACCCACAAGTACAGGCTGTAAGTCAGTGAGTACCCACAAGTACAGGCTGTAAGTCAGTGAGTACCCACAAAAGCTAAGATATTTTTAAACAAATACATTTTTCTCATTACTGTTTATGTACAGGTATGATACAATATTTTGCGTTGTAAAATGTGTAATGTTTTTTCATCGTTCCTTCGTCCTTTGAGGGGTGAAAAGCATAATTTTCATTGCGTCATCTTCCTTTGATACATGATTTATTCATTCTCTTGAGAATTAGGCTAAAACATCAGAATCCTTTAATTTCGAGACAGTACAGTACTTTATAATAAGATACAATGTACTTTGTTATTACTGTATTTAATATTGGTGATGTCTTACTGTGTGTAATTTATCAATTAAACTTCACCATATGTTTGTATATGAAAATCACACTATATATGGGGTCCATGGATGATTCACTTTTATCCGTGGTGTCGGCTACCTGTGGTTGGTCTTGGAACTTATCACCCACAGATACGGGAGGTCTACTGTACTTGGGTACTTCTGTATTGAAAGACAAGTTAATTGTCTTCAGAGAGAGCAATGCCATATGGGATATGAACACATAACCAACAAATAATGGTAATCTCAAGTTACCCATAACCCTCACTGCTCACTGCAGTAACTATTCCTCACACATCACTCTCTAATTTCAGTCAAACTGTTGCCATGGCAGCAGTGAGTTCCTCACACTTCGATAGCGTGTTTCTGGTGACTGAAGCCCTCCTTCGCCCTTTCATCACAGGTGTACAGTGCTGACGGGGAGTTCCTCTTCAAGTTTGGGTCCCACGGGGAGGGCAACGGCCAGTTTAATGCCCCCACTGGTGTGGCCGTGGATGCCAATGGGAACATCATTGTCGCCGACTGGGGCAACAGCCGTATCCAAGTACGTGAACCTCTAACTCGTAATGTTAACCTCTGGGTTTGGGTCGGGAAGGGAGGTAGCACATATTCTGGGAAAGGGGAGAGTGGCCAACAGTCATATTGGGAATTATCAGGAAAGTGCTAGTGAGTTTGCTAAAGAGTGCAGCAAATAATCACAGCTCATAAGCTGGCAAATCAGGAATGGCTTTACTTTGCAGGTGATCCTGTGCCCTTACAGTATGTCTGTTCTTTCTCAGGTGTTTGACAGCTCCGGGTCCTTCCTGTCCTACATAAACACCAGTGCAGACCCCCTGTACGGCCCACAGGGCCTGGCTCTGACCTCCGATGGCCATGTGGTGGTGGCGGACTCGGGGAATCACTGTTTCAAGGTGTACCGCTACCTGCAGTAGGTATCCCCGTGAAGGAGGCCCGAGACGTAGGACATAGACTGGGTGCAATCATACTTTGTTTTCATTCTGTCTTCATCTTCACTTTGCACATCAGCAACGCAGACCTACCGAAGTCTGCTAAGCTCTCTCCGAATGAGGAGAAAAGGACAAATACGCATTACATCAAGAAAACTTTTGCACACTGTTTGATCTCTACTGATGGGGGTACGACAAGGTGAAACCCTATTGCGCAACTGCTGAAGGACTCAAAAAAAAATCGAATGTATACAAATGGAATATGCCATTGAACATGGAAGGGATTTTAAAAGAGTGGTGTTTGTATAGCTAAAGTTTTTGACCACCCCTATCTGCAAGGATCAAGGGGTAACCAAAATAGTAGCTGGACTTCGACAGAGCAACAGTCATTTCCCCATTGCATGAAGTTGTAGTTTTCTGAAGCAGACCTTCTGGGGGAATGTGACTCTTTTTGATTGGTTGGCTTTTTTGTTTTCCAAGTTTTCAAATCAAACTGATACCAGTCGGACCGTGTCAGTGCAGCTATTGGACAAAATCACTCTTTTTTTTTTTCTTTTCTCAATCCTCTGTGCATTTTATTCTGTTATATTATATATTTGCATACACATATATGTGGCTGTACACTCACGCTTATGTATGCATACAGTTGATATGCTTATCGGTCCCCTGTATGTACCTGACGAGCAGTGCTGCTCTTTGACTGCCGACGAATGCAACGTTATCAAAGCACATAAACCCAAGGATGCGCAGCCACTGCACAGCCTGCATACAGCATTCAGAACAGGAGTCTGTGGTACTGTATTTATTCAAAACAGCAACAGCACAGCAGGTCACATGCTTCTGTTTTTTTTTTTTTCTTTATAAATAAGAAGATAAAGACAAATCCTTTTAATTTATTACTTTATTTTCTACATGAATTCGCCTTTAAAAAAATATTTTTCTAAATTGATGTGTTGGATCTTATCTGCCAAATATCTAGTGTAAGCCTGGACACGATCCAGAATCGGGGTCTCAAAGCCGCCAACAGATCCTCGCTCTCGTCTCGCCTGTTTCCATGGCAACGGGCGAAGGCGGAACCTCATCCCCATTAATTTGCCAAACTTGGTTTGTTGATGCGGTTGCACTTAATATGAAAATAATTACTTTCAAAAATGTAATATCAATATGCCTATTTGACTGTAAATATTATCATATGAAGTAAATTATATGTATAAGGACCTGGCAGCTGGAATATTGTTGCCATCAATTTAACAGTATTTGTATTTATTTTTCTATTTGTTTAGTGTCCATGACACACTTTGTCCGAGGTTCACAAGCGTTTTATATAAAAGGCATCTCCTTTCTCATGGATAGCTCGCATAATCTCTTCCGTTCAAGTGACATTGTCAGAAATGTGTTAGTCCGACGTCCTGTTGTGTTTGCAAAAACTACCATGGCAAAAAATAAATAAATATATAAACATATGAATGTCATTCAGCCGTATGGATTTTCTCTAAGGATCCAGAGAGCAAAACATTGATCGGACGGCGTGGGCGTTTTTTCCTCCGTTTGAGAGCGGTACCTTTTTTGCATGGTGACTATGATTTCATTTATAATGGTCTGAAATTCCAGCTTAATGTTGCCCGTTATTTCTTGCTGTCGTTATATGCTTCTTTAATTCATTTGTTCCACATTATGGATATTGCCTTTTTATAGATAAGTCTGTTCAACAGTTTGTTCCATCTGCGTCTTACCATGAAGTAATGATTCCTAATGCATGATGGCGCGCTTATATTAGAAGTTGTGGTCAGAGGCCCCAGTGGCTTCTGTATAAAACGTTAAAACCGTCACCGCACCTCTGTGTGAAATGCTGGATTTCATTACTACGGTGTGTGTGCTGTAAACCTGTACATATTAAACTGCTGAAAAGCCTGCGGGGGCTTCTGCGCTGCTTTATTTGTGTCGGTGAGAAAGCGGGGAAGAGGAGCGACACCGGAGAGGAAGACGGGGACGGGAAGAGACTGATAATGGGGGTCACATCACACTCGTTAACCCATTAATTCAGCTTCGCTGTGAGAATTATGCTGAATATACTTTGCAGAAACAGCTAAACGTCCTGAATAATGCTTATCGTTATTAGGCTGGTATAGGACGACCCAACACACTCAGTTCAGTTCTGACATAAATCTATAAGGGTAATATTCTGAATGATGTGCTATGAAGACAAAAATTGTGTCTACATTATGGGATACATGCTCAAATTTGTCAGTGAGACATACTTATGGGAGTTAGACTTTGTTAGAAGAAATAGTGGACATCATAGAAATGGGTGACTCCATATGCTTAGCTGCCACTATCTTTAAAGTTCATTCTAATTCAGCCATGTAAGTGCTTGGTGCTCCCTTCGGATGACATCATGGACATGCAGTGAACAGATTTACAGTGTAACTTACACAGCTTGCCTCACGCACGCAATAAACATAGATCCGTCCTGGCGGTGAGGATCTGCTCTGTGTGTTTTTATTTGGAGCAGGTCCATAACTTTGATTCCTGTTTAACAACAAATAAGATGACAAGCCAATATGATCCAACCTTGAAGTGCTGCCCATTTGACATCTTGCTAAGATTATGGAAGAATTTCCCTGCATGGTTGTGTTTCAAAAGTAAATATTAAACTGAAAGTATCGTCCATATGTGGGATTCCTATTCTTTTCCCTCATGCAGTCTAAAGGCATGCACTTCGGCTAGTCGGCATCTCTGAATTAGTGTGTGTGAGTGTTTGTGCATGTGTTTGTCCTGCAGTGCACTGGGATCACATCTTGGGACATCCCCAGCCTGGTGTGCAGTGCTTCCTGTGCAGTGCTTCCTGTGCAGGGTGTCAGGTTCCCCTGTGATCCTGACAAACTAAACGGCTAGAAGATGCATGGAAGGATGTCTGTACCATTTATCTATCCTGCTTAATATAGGGCTGAGCGATTAATTTTAACTCAATTTTTTAATTTTGGCTTCCAAGGATCATCAAAACAAAATAATCGAGATAAATGATTCTTATGCCGCATTTCAGTGATACTCCTGTTTTGTCTTGTTATAAATTTCCAGGCCTTTAATTTAATTTGGTTGTCAGTTAAATTATATTTGGGTGATTCCTGTTTTGGGCCATATATTCATGTCCTCCTGTTTAACTGGCTCTTATTCTTTTATAAAATTAGACAAATCTTTATAACACACCTATTTTATTATGTGTTTAGGTGTTTTCTATTGCTCTAACAAAGATAAATTACTATTTTTATCGTTTTACAACTCTTGAAAGCACCATTTCTCTGGAATATTTGCTCATTTTAGCATGTCCCAAATGCAATGTATTCAACTTCCTCAGTAAATATAAACTATAAAATTATAAAAACCAAAACTTATTCTTTATTATTTTGATAGACTAGGGTATACAACCTTTAGAGAAAGAAACAAATCTGGTGAAACTTATTTTGTTTTCTGTAATTATATAATATATTATATGTCCCCGCATTCGTTTCGCACCCTGTGAGCCTCTAATTTCTTGACTCCCTAAAAACATTACAGCTCTAACTCGTATTGTTAACCTCTGGGTTTGGGTCGGGAAGGGAGGTAGCACATATTCTGGGAAAGGGGAGAGTGGCCAACAGTCATATTGGGAATTATCAGGAAAGTGCTAGTGAGTTTGCTAAAGAGTGCAGCAAATAATCACAGCTCATATGCTGGCAAATCAGGAATTTTTATAAAAAAAATTCATACAACCATTTCCAGGAAGTGACATCATTTGTTTTTTGGGGGAAATTCAACTGGAAGACTAAGGTAAGCTTTAACTGTCACTCTCTCCTGTATCAATTTTATATTACACACCGGTTTGACGCACCCTTAAAGTTCCACCCTGTTAGTATATATTATGGGAAATATTTATTGGAAAAAA